TCAATGACAATTTTTTGGATGCATTTTGCTGTTTTTGATTTGGCTTCGATGGATCGTTGGATATATGCATTTTGGAAGAAAACTGGATGGATGGCCACTATTCAGTGGATGGATGGATTGACTATGGAAATTAAATGGATAAGTTAAAAATTCATCAAAATGGTTGGAATGGATGAATGGAAAGGAAAACAAAAAAAAAAGCCGAAAGAAAGAAAGAAAGAAGGATAGATAGAAGATAAATGAAAAGAAAGAAAGGAAAAGAAATAAATAAATGAAAAGAAAGAAAGAAAGAAAGAAAGAAAGAAGGAAATGAAAAGGAAGAAATAAATGAAAAGAAAGAAAGAAAGAAAGAAAGAAAGAAAGAAAGAAAGGAAAAGAAAGAAAGAAATGAAAAGAAAGAAAGAAAGAAAGAAGGAAAGGAAAAGGAAGAAATAAATGAAAAGAAAGAAATAAATGAAAAGAAAGAAAGAAAGAAGGAAAGAAAGAAAGAAAGAAGGAAAGAAAGAAAGAAGGAAAGGAAAAGAAACAAATAAATGAAAAGAAAGAAAGAAAGAAAGAAAGAAAGGAGATGGATTTCAAGCGTGTTACATCAGGTCCGAGCTGCAGGCCAATCACGTTTTCCACCCTCGGGGAAAACTTTGTCGTCCGCAGAACGGAATGTGACCAAAGATGCTGTTGGCCTATCATTCATTCTTCGAGTGCTTGGCTGTCAGTTCCCTTTCTTTCTGACAACCGGGGCTGGTTTTCAAGAGAATTCCATCACGCCTAACCGCTATCAATGTCACATTCCTACATGGCGACAATTGATTCCCCGTACCGACACAAAGGTCCCCCCAACAATTCTCAGGAAGAACAGCAATCAACAAAGATGAACGCTAAGAACAAAAGGAATGAGCTGGAATTTGATAAAATGTAAATATTCTCAACGATTTTTTTAATTTATTTCATAGGGTGCACCTGCATTTCTTCTGTTGAATGCTGTTGCCATATATGGTCTGTTGCCCCCGCTGTTCATCTCGTGGTCCTCGGCAAAATCCAGACACAGATATGCAATGTGATAGGTCTTCTTCTGGCATCTCGTCTACAGTCACTTTCTCACAGACGTGATGTGGCTTCTCTCTGTCTTTTCTACAAGTATTTTAATAACAAATGTTCTGGCAAGCTATTTTCACTGGTACCGTGACTGCATGAATTTAAGCGTGCTACTAGTTTGGCATGTCAGTCTCACCCTTTCACTACCGAAACGGTCAAATGAAGCCGTATCTTCTACTCCAACAACTTCTTCCCTCGCACTTTCCGACGGTGGAACTCCCTTCCTTCTACTTGCTTCCCTCATAGCTATAATCTTCAAATATTCAACTGTAATGTCAATTGACATTTTCTGATGCGTTGATCCTCTCCAAGCCCTACTATTAATCTTTTTCTCAAGCACCCCCTCTTTACTCCCGCCCTTTCACTATCGAAGCAGTTAAATGTAACCGCCTCTTTTACTAAAACAGTGTCTTCTCTTGCACTTCCCGACAGCGGAACTCCCTTCCTCTTACTTGCTTCCCAGATGGCTATAATCTTCAAATATTCAAATGTAATGTCAATCGACATCTTATGATGCCTTGATCCTGATCCTCGTCCTTCTCTTTATCCTTTTCCTCCAACAACCCTCTTTACTCCTGCTCTCTCTGTAACCCCTTGCGGGCTAGTGGCACTCTTGCCGTGCTTGGGGTGAAATGATTTAAAAAAAGCCCTCCTCTCTCCTTCTCATTCCCTCTCCGTTACTCTCTCTCACTATCACTCTCTCTCTCTCAGTCTCTCTTTCAATCTCTCTCTCTCTTTGTGTAATTCGTTTATGTCTTTCTTCATCTTTTTTTTAGAATTCTACTTCCCTTCTCTTTCTTCTTTTTCACTTACACCGTCTTTTTAGCCATTTCTCTTTCCCCCACTACTTCCGCTAATTATTTCATATATATTTTCTATTTTCTTTCCTTTTTCCTAACAAATTTCTAAATTTCCTTCCTTCCTTCCTTCCTTCCTTCCTTCCTTCCTTCCTGTTGTCAGTTTTTCATTCTCCAAAGCGCTTTTGCGGAATCATTAACGCCGATTTTCTATCTCTGTGATAACTTTTCCCGGCAATTTCTGATCGAATTCTACACCGAATTCTTTCTCGTTCCACGCATGGCTGAACGAAAATGCAATTCGGGAGGCGTTTTCGCTTTTAAATCATCAAGTGACGACTAAATGCTTTATTGCAGAGAGCAATCTCTCTGACACAAGCCAACGAACAACGGTACTTTTCCCAAATCTTTTATTGCTTTGTGTTGCTAAGACACTAAACTCATCAATTTATGGATCAGTTGGCGTTAGTTTAAACCCAAGAACGGACATCTCACCTTTCGCTCATCAATATACATGAGGATGTTTTAATAATTGTAAAATCCAGTATATAGATGAGATATAACTGTTAAAAAAGATCCTTAAGTTATATCCACTGCATTGATTCGATGATATTCGTCACAAGCTGGAGTTGCTTGCACGTGAACAACCATTTGTAAGAGTTTCCAGTCAAAACGCGGAGTTCCTTGCATGTGAACAACCATTTGTAAGAGTTTCCAGTCAAAACGCGGAGTTTCTTGCATGTGAACAACCATTTGTAAGAGTTTCCAGTCAAAACGCGGAGTTCCTTGCATGTGAACAACCATTTGTAAGAGTTTCCAGTCAAAACGCGGAGTTTCTTGCATGTGAACAACCATTTGTAAGAGTTTCCAGTCAAAACGCGGAGTTTCTTGCATGTGAACAACCATTTGTATGAGTTTCCAGTCAAAACGCGGAGTTTCTTGCACGTGGACGCCCATTTATAAGAGTTTCCAGTCAAAACGCGGAGTTGATTCCATGTAAACACCAATTTTTAAGAGTTTCCAGTCAAACATAGTTTCCTACTGAATGAATTTTGTTAATGATATGAACTCAAAACGCGAAATAACTAATTGCTCCCATTGCTATGTCCTCTGTTTAGATTGAAATTTAGAAGCTCGAAATAATTACGCTTTTGGTCGATTCAGCGGCTCGCCATGTTTATATAAAAATCTATGACAATTGAAAAAGGTTAAAAACTGAAAAATAAAGAACAATACAAGAATTGATCCCAGAAAGAAATTACTAATAAACGTCGTCAATCGAACGGCGGAAAAGATGCAATGACAAAATATTGAGATGAAGAATAAATGACTTGACTCACATTTTATAGTCCACCAATAGAAGGTTAACCAATCAGAAGACGTAGAATATTCAATCCGTCGTGTATAAAGGCGGTTTTTTTTGTTTTACTCTATCCGAATGTCCAGTGCCAGCTTGTCAGGCGAAGAGGAACAGAAGGAAGAACTACGCTCTGCTAAATTTTACCGTCAAAATATCCACTGCTAACCTGAAAAACGCTTTCCTACTGTCTTCGAAATATTCACTGCTAACCTCTGGATTCTATACTCAAAGACGACCGTCATCATAAAACAAAAGAAAGGATTTTTTTCTGATACTTGTTCAAGCCTAAGACTATTTTTTAGTTATTAGGTTGTCAATCAGAAACGTAAAAATATTCCAATTAAAAGGCGGCCATTTTGTTTACAATGGAAAATATTCTTTTGAAAAAACAGCTCTCTACATGGGAGAAAAATAAGTAAGAACTACACTTACTGTCTTCTGAAAAAGTAACCTCTGGATTTTATATTTGAAGACAACCGTCAATGAACAACAATTCAAATGCTTATAATTGACTTACATCGACTTTTTTAAAAGAAACTAAAATGAATCAGATATTAAAAAAAACCTGAATAATTCTTTGTTCAATTGTTGAAAATTAGCAATATTCTGAAAAAATATCTATGCTTTAAATCAATGTTCACTGATAAAAAAAAACCAGAAAAAAATGAAAAATAAAACGCTTAAATTTATTGTTTTTTTTTAAATCCAGTGGCAAGTTCGATATTTTTTCTAAACGAATGTAAATGAGTGGAGAAATATATTTTAGAAAAAACGTCCAAAAAAGATTACATGAAAAAAAGTAAAAAATCAATAATGGATGTTATGGTATAGCAAAATCATTTAGAAAACCGATCTTTCAGTAAATATCGATAATCATTCACCAAATTTAGCTGTTTATAATAAATTTTTTATGAAATCGAGTTTTTTTTTGATTTTATTTTTAATAATATAATAATTTCCTTAAAAATTTAAAAAAAAGATTTTATACAAATGTTTATCAGCTAAATTTTTTAATTTAAAATCGATTTAAGTATATGAGTAAAAATAAGACAAACATATTCAGTTGAACAAATTAATTTATTGTTAAAAACAAAGAAATTTAAGTATTCCCAATACAATAAGATACGGAAATATTTATAAATAAAATGTTTCCCAATACAAACAAAAAAAGCTTAATAAAAAAATATTAATATAATTAAATTTACCGAACACATTTACAAATAATGGATAAAATATAAAAGGGTATTTCAAAAAAATTAAAATAAGTTAAATTGAAAATATGTTTGAAAGATACATAATTAAGACAAATGAAAAAAAAAAGTATTAATAAAAGAAGGATCTTTAAATTTGGGACAGACTGGAAAAAATTTGAATGAGAAATTCAAAATTTTTGGATTATAAAATTAACGATTTTATTTTCTTTTCAAAAACAAATAGGATTGTCCGATCCTTATGAAATCTTTAAGAATTGATATATATATATCATCTTTAACTTTTTATGATTCATCTCCAAATTTAATTGCATTTTGAAACATTTTCTTAGAGAAAAAACAAGAAGTTTAATCTGCATATTCTTATTGTTTGCTTTAAAAATTGTTCAAAAATTATTTTAAATAAATAAATTTCTATGGTTTTTAAAAATTTTATTTTTTAATTTTTTTGAAAAGAATAAAAAATTAGTTTTTAATTAATACAAATAATACAATTAAAAAATAAAGACATAAAAATAAAACAAAAAAATAAATTTAAAGAGAAGCTATTTTTTTATTTGAAAATTTTTAAACAACAAAAAAAATATTTTTAAATTTTAAAATTGATTTTAAAAAAAAATTGAAAAACCTTTTTTTTAAATAAATTTTAAAATTTCTTAAAGAAAATTATTTAATTATAAATTAAAAAAAAAGCAAAATCATTTTAAATGCTTATTGTTTAGTTTTTTTTTTAACATATGAAGAAGGCATTTTTATTTGGAGATATCTTTAATAATCAGCAATTCAAAGAATAAAATATTAATGAAAAATTTTGCAAAAAAAAAAAACTGAAAAAAAATATAAACATCAGTTATTTAAAATAAAATGAATGTTTGGAAATTAATATTTTAGTAAATATATTTAGATATTAAAAAAACAGAATAAAAGGAAAAAGATTTAAGTAAATAATTTATGGTTCAAAAAAAAAAAATAAAAAAATTTGTAAAAGAAAAAGATGAATTTTTTTTTTAAAAAATGGAAAAAAATGAGAAATAAAAAAAAACAAAAAAAAATGAATTAAAAAAAAACAATTTAGTAGATTTTCTTTTTAACCATAATTTCTTTTTTTCTAAAAGCAAAAAATGGAAATCGATAAATTTATTTTTTTTTCGGGGGATAAGAAAGTTGTGTAATATATAATAGAAATATTTTTAGAACAGTTAAAAATAAGTTTAGTTATTCAGTTAA